TCCCCAAGCGGAGTTGGTTCCCCGTCGATCCTGAAGAGGCACAACATTCCCCGGCAGATCTTAAAGCTCATCCCCAGTAGATTCTGCAAGCTTATCCCCTGCGAAGCACGGACGTCTCACCCGAGTTTTTATTTAGAGTTATTTCCTCACAAGGACTTATAACTGGGTTATCCTCAGCTAAAAACCACGGAAGATCGCTCTCGGCAAAGTTCCTTCAGTCCCCAGCGGAGTCTATCTTTGGTATTCCCAAGCAGAGTTTATCTTTGGAGTTCCCCAGCGGAGTTTATCATCATTATCCCCAGCGGAATCCATCATTGAAGTCCTCAGCAGGCCTCTCATCAACTTCGGCCAAGTATCTCTTCCACAGAGCAATTCTCCGGCCGTTCGTCAAGGATTTATTTTCCCCAAGACGAAATTACATTCATAAACATTTTACATTTTCATACATCTTGCTTACATACATGATGGAACGCATACAACATCTCATGTTGAATATCATGACAACATGCATATCATACATCATGATATTGCATACAACTTACGTTTTTGACTTTTCAGGAAAAAGACAATCCCAAAAACAATTACCCCCAATTACCACCTTTCCAGACTCGACTCCTGTATCTAGCCAGGGCACGTCTGAAGAGTTCGAAGATTCGATTCCTGTATCCGGCCAGGGCATATCTAACAATTATCACCTTTCCAGACTCGACTCCTGTATCTAGCCAGGGCACGTCTGAAGAGTTCGAAGATTCGATTCCTGTATCCAGCCAGGGCACATCTATCCACTACAACATCTCCAGATTCGATTCATGTATCCGGCCAGGGCATATCTAACAATTATCACGTTTCCAGACTCGATTCCTGTATCTAGCCAGGGCACGTCTGAAGAGTTCGAAGATTCGATTCCTGTATCCAGCCAGGGCACATCTATTTAACGACTATTTCCAGATTCAACTCCTGTATCCAGCCAGGGCATATCTGTGAGCAACCGATTGTAGATTCAATACCTGTATCCAGCCAGGGCATATCTGCATAAGGAGACTGAGGATCAAACACCTGTAACAAGCCAGGAAAACATCCGTCTTTCTCAAATATACAAATTTCTCGCTAAGGAATCTCTTATGCGATCGACACTTCCTAATGGCATCTATAAGCCCATTCCCGACAAGGTTCTGTCACGTCTCCGGATGGCATCTGTAAGCCCATCTCCCTATCTACCGCCTCTCCAAATGGCATCTATAAGCCCATTCCCATTGCTGATACTCTACTAGGCGAGTGCAAATTTTCGGGCACTCTGGTGTCCAATCTCCTTTTACCCTCGAGTCGCGAAAGGCAAACTCGCCAATCTAACTCTTCAGGTTCAAGAAGATTGAACAGGGGCAACTGTTGTACCCCAAAATTTGCCCTCCCTTTCTTCAGGAAACCATCTTAGATTTTTCAAAGTCCCCTGAAACAAATCCAAGTCCTGGGTTATCCTTTTGCCCAAGCAAGCCACTTACAAGAGCAAGATGATCTCCCAAACTCCGGAAACAATGCTTCCATCTTGAGGAAAATCAAATTCTAAGTGCTTAGAATGTTTCTTTAAAATAAGTGTTTTTTAGAAAAATCAGCGCTTCAGAACTTCTGGACCCATTCCAGATGAAGACGGTCAGAAGTTGCAAGCTTGGCTCAGCGTGGTCAGAAGTTGGCTCTTCAGCAGTTATATCAGTTCAATCAGAAGTTGTAAACGTGGTTCAGAGTGTAAGCCTCAAACAGAACATACCCCTTCAGCAGTTACACAAGCTCAGTCAGAACTTGCTAAAGGAATGCAAGAGAAACAGGAAAGTATGAAGGCTCCTTCAGAACAGGTTGAAATCAGAAGATGAAAGGTCAGAAGGATAGGTGTCACATTGATATAGAATCTCTAAGCTCAGATTATCCAGAAGTAGATCCAAGGAACGTACCAGAAAACCAGGAGAATCTCCAGAGTTTGCTAAGACAACAGGTAGCCAAGGCCAGAGCATGGTTTACGCTGCTGATTCAACGCTGGTTTCCCTTACCAGAATGCTGGTATTGACAGGTCTTGTCACCATTTAATGCCCATTAATGCTTCCAACCACTCCTGAGCATTCACGTGTGGCTTGGAAAATGCTTTTGCACAGATTCTGGCATGGGTCTTCACGCCACCGCCCATTTCAGAGGTCACTTCCCCCAATCTACGCCTGCTGCTGCTACCTAGGTTGAAAGATAGCTGTTATCACAACTTCCCAGGAATTTCTGTCAAAGAACAAATTCAAACTCTGTTGGCGCCTTAAATGTTCAAGACATCCACAAGAACTTTGCCTATAAATAGAGAGCTTTCACCACTGCAAAAGGGGTTCAAAAAAAAGAAGAAGAGAAACAAAAGAATTGCTAAGGGAGAAACCAAACTCCTAAGCAACACAGCGTTCTGAAACTCTGCCAAAAAATCTCCAGCTTTGTTTCATAACTTTAAGTTTCTTACCTTCAACTTCATCAAACATCCAGCTCTTTTCTGTAAACCAAAAACGTTCTTTCCAAACTTCTGACCCTATACACGTATACACCTTCACTTCCCCTTTTCCAAATCTGTCCAGAACACCACCAGAACCAAAAGCTAACTTTCACCCACCATTTTCCAGAAAGTCAGGTAAGCACCTGTTGACCCTCACCACACTGTTAAACATCATCAGCTGTGCATATTCAAGTAACATAATGTAAATATTCATGTTATTGCTGTTTATGTTCTGAGGACTCTCATACCTCAGAACGTTCTGAGCCAGTATAGGACTTGCCTGTGACCTTGGTGATTCTGACCTCTGAAACATTTTTGCTGTTTTGCTGGATCTGTTCCAAATATGTTTCCTGTTTTGTGGAGTAATGACAGAATTGCAGATGTTCTGATTAGTACAGGAAAAAGCCAGGTGCTGACTTTGACGTTAGCACATCTGAAGCCTGTTTTGCTGTCAATGACATCAGAACCTCTGAGAGTTATTGCCTTCTCAGCAGAATCAGAACTTCTGGTTTTTTCACTAACAAGGTTCTGTTTTGCAGGTTCTAGAGTCAGAAGTTCTGACTCATCCAGTTTCACCAACAGGTTGATCATCTGACAGCGGATCTGGGTCAGAACTTCTGATGGCCTCCCAACAGCGCGCAGGCTCCCTCTCTCTCTATATATCTTGTTTTCCGCTATTTTCTTTTTTGTCTATTTTTCTCGTTGAACCCCCCATGTACAAATGTGTATCCATTTCCCCCAATTATTGTAATAGCGTAGGATTTTACATTTCCGCTTCTTATTGCTAGTAATTAGGACGTGTATGGCAAGATAAAACTCAATGAAATAGAAAAACCTAATTCAAAGAAAAAACTCTTGTATGCAATAAAACACACTTGCACACTAACACCCCTAGGGTACTCCACTTTGTTGCCTTCAAAATTGGACCATATTGTATGTTGAACTTCTTTGGGCAAAGCAGACAATTTGAATGATCATAGTCCCTCGATAAAACTTTTCAAAAACAAACAAAAACAAATGATCAAGTCCCTTAAAGAAAATTGCCCAAAGACGTTTAACGCCGTTGCAATTATGGTCTAAACGATGACCCGCGCCTGTCCCTTTCACATCCTAACACAAGATTGTCCACCAAATACAATGGTGGAACAAACTTGTTAAAAGGGTTAAAACGTAGCAATAAATCTTTTGAGAAATTTAGGAGTAGACGACCTCTTAGTTACTTGAATCAAACTTGCAAAACAAAACACTTGCCTAATTTCAAAATCACACATCACTACACTTTCAAAACAACTTTCAAAAACATTGAAAAACTTTTTCAAAAGACATACACCTTTGTATACATCCCAACATGGATCATTACAAAGGTTGCCACCACATTGGATTCTTTTCAAAACATTTTCAAATCCACACACACAAAGCACCATTTCAAACAATTGAAAATTAAGGCAAGTTGATCTAAGCAAGTAACTAAGAGCCCATGGATAACCATGGATAGAAAGGGTGCTAATACCTTCCCTTTCTATAATCTACTCCCCGAACCCAAGAAAACATCTCAAAGGTTTTTGCTGTGCTTTTTAACCTTTCCTTAGGATAAAATAAAAAGTCGGTGGCGACTCTTGCTAACCGTACATTTGCGAATACAAACGCAAAACCTCAAGTCAGTTCTCCCACCGTATCACATGACCCATTCAACAAGTTCAAAAGGTCTCAAATACATAGGATTGACAGATGAATTTTTCAGTCAACTGATTAAAATTTGACTATCCACTGAAAAGTCAAACTTTGACTTTTTGGTCAAAATCAAGTGCCAAGGGTCATTTTTCATCAAGACATGTCAAATTATGAAACTTGTTCATCAAGAAACCCAAAATTGCAAATTAGGGTTTAAAATGGAAAATTTTCATAACTTAGAAATTTTCAAGTTATAAAATTTTCTTATTTTTTCTTAACTTTGTCCCACATTTTCACCAAGATGCAAAGGGATTCAATAAAAACTTACAACATGAAAGTTGTAGTCCATCACAAAGTATAAAACTTTGGTTCACAAAGTTTTCCCCATGTCCCTTGATGTCAGATGCAATGTTATTCTTCTTCATTTCATTTACATCTTCCTGACTAAGAGAAGTATTGAAGGAGAACTGGTGGACATAGGCAACATGTATTTAATGTTGAACTTAGCATTGGTTGAGGGGTGTTCCCTTGAAATCAACATGTTAGCATTATGAAAAAGTGGATGGAGAGAGGTTGTAACGAAAGTAAAATTACCTTGGATGTTTCAGCACTAGGACCAAAGTTAGCCCTCTCCAGTTTGTTAGATGGGGAAATCTTTTTGGCCTTTTTGGGTTTCATATGGACCAATGAAGGAATTTCCTCCATCCCTTCTTTCTATATGACTTGGGAAGTAGAGGGGCCTTTAGTTACCTTTTGACTAACCTCGTGAGTTTCGGTGGTCTTCTTCTTCTTTCTAATGGACTCAAGGTTTGGGGTTTCAACAAAACTTTTCGTCTCCTCTAAAATCTTTAAAGTCGACACCTTTGAACTTCTCTTGGAGGTTATCGCGATGTCCAACTTGAGCCTAAAAATATTGACAATTAGCATGGTTGGAAGAAAATAAATTTGGTATGTTTACCAAAAGTGAAGATGGTTAAAAGCTAACCATTGTCTTTACTCCTTCGACACAAACTTCATCTTCTTCATGTTTGGCTTTCTTGTTTAAAGTAATGGTAATCGAACCACTTCCTCTTTTTCGACCCTGCAACAGAGTAGAAGTAAATTAGAATTCCAACGATAAAGAGAGAAAAATATCAATAGGAGATATCTATTTTTCCTCAAGTGGTTGGTCAAACTTTTCACCAGCATATGCCTTTTTGGATTTTTTTCCAGAGTAACAACTGCAAAAATTCAAAACAGTCACATCAAAGAGGCATAAAAAGATTTAGGATTTCTTAGTTTGAAAGGCTTATATTCCTCACCTACAGGTTCAGTGGACAAAATCAGAACGTGCCTAATGTTTACATGGAGGTAACCTTTATAATTGTGTAAATCGTGCTTAGTCTGAACTACTCGTTCGACCGGTTTTTGGACGAATCAAATAGTAAGGCAAAAGTATACTTATCTTTTACATAAGAAGGAAAAGTCATTTTAGGTACCTTTTTGACAAGCTTTCTTTTAAAGTAAGAGCTGCCCCAAAGATAGTCCGCCTAAGGTTATTCAGATTATACACAGTTTCAAAGTAACGCTGAAAAGCTTGGATGTCGTTAATATTTATACATTTACCTTTTTTGAATTTAGTCTGCATAGAAGAAAAAACTTATGTTAAGTAATGCATCAGAGTCAGCACATCTACAAAATTGTTTGTCTGGTAGTCTTTCCACCACTTATCGAATTCTTTAGTACAATAGAATGACAATTGAAATTGAAAGGGGGTAAGATTGATGCACATATCACTCTGTCAAGTTAGACACTAATGATATATTTCTTCAGCCATTTCAACAGTGCTCGAGCAAAGCTCATTTTTTTTGACTAAAAAGAGATTTACATAGAGATTGGCTAAAACCAAAATATCGAGCTACCAGATTAGGTTGGTAGCTAGCAAGCCCTATGGTACCTTTGTTAGTTCCAAGTCTCATCGACAGCAGTTTAGGGGTAAGAAATGCTCTCCAAATTTTAACAACCTCATCTTGGTGTTCAACAACATGGGCAGGAAATTTCCTTCTAAGCCAATTTCGCCCATGACTCTAGTTAACAAAAGGGGCCATAGGAAGAGTGAACACATGTCGCCTTGCAAACATCATGAAGTATTTAATGAAAATTTCTTGTGTCATAATCCCCTTTTCAGTTGGAGTGATAAGGGCAAGTTTGGTGCCTTGAATCTATCAGTGGTTAATTTTTTCTGCATAACTAGATGGTATGTCTACCTTTAAAGAAGACTTGAACATGACATTGAGCCAAAGTTGTAGAAGCCCAAAAGGTCCAGCAAGCAAGAGATTAACATTAGGCTAAAAAAATTTTAGGGCATAAGTTACAAGCCCCAAGGAGCCGTAGAGATAAGCAAATATTAAATGGCTTAAACAAATGTTTCGGCCTTTATGCAATTGTTTAGACAAAGTGATAAATTTATTGGCCCCTTTTAGAAATTTAGAACATAAAACATAGTGTGATAACCACCATGTTAAAAAAGCAATGTGCTCTTCATCTGAAACATCTTCAGTTTGGGTTTTATGATGGTCAATGATAAAATTGATAAATCTATCACATTTGGAATTAAAATTGACAATATCTTTACCCTACAAGGTAAGGTTAAAAATGTCACCAGTCGATCGAAGAGCAGTGATGACAGCTATGTCGAACAGACTCGGCGTGATTATCCCATAATAGAGTTGGAAGGTGTTTTTCGTACTCTCCCAGAATTGCAGTATCGTGAAGAGCATGTTTTAATTGTATGTAGGACCAACCCCAGATAGTTGAATCAAGTCGAAGATACCATATTTTTATCAAAATTGTGCTTTCTTCGATTCTGCCTTATTTAGCCATAGGATATAATCTTTTTGCTTGACATAAGGCGTCGGGTGGAAGACACGACAGGGAGCACTCATAAAGCTCATATCATAGGTTTGATTCAAACAAACACGAGGTTTTATGTGATAGTATGAAGGAAATATTTCTTCCACCTTCTTGGGGTTAGGAAGTAGACCCAGAAATGCATGCATTTTGTCATAAATGGAGAAAGGAATGAGTACTTGGGATTTCCATATGTGAGCTTTCTCTTATTTCATAGGTGGCTCGGGAACATAAGCTTGATTCCCAACAAGGTTAGGGACTTTGATAGCTGCAATAAGGGGCGATGTTTTCTCTTAATTTGATGATGAAGCCATTGTTACAAAAATCGTGCGTAGGTTGAAGAAGATGAAGTGTGGAGGAATTTTGTAGGGTTTTTGAATACTGAGAAGTTGAAGAAGAAGTAGAGAAAAATAAAAGTGGTGAAAGAGAAGTATATTTATAGTTATATGAGGAAGACTTTTCATTTCTCATTTTCTCTCTCTTGAATTTGAACAGTTGACACCTTTTAGTTGACATGTGTTTTTCGTTCAGAGGCAAAATAGAAAGTTTGATTTTAAGTGGCCCACGTTCTTCTTGGGAAAATGGAGTTGTGATGGAGATCCAGTAGGGGCGTGTCTCAAAAATACATTTTTTTTAAATGGTTATAACGATGGTGACATCAGTGCACAACTCTAAACATGTGTAGAAGTTTCAAAAACGCCACTAATAAAGTAAGTTAGAAGGCTGGAAATTGCGCAAAAGGCTACATGTCGAACTCTGAAGATATATTCGTTGTAAACAGGTATTTCTATATTACTAGTACATATAGTGGTTCTAGCGTTAGGATTTGTGTGACAATATCATTGTAAAATCTCTATAGAACTCAAAGTACTCAAGTCAAAGTGAGAAACAAGTTTGTGAGGAATATATGATTCTGCACACCAACTTTTATACATTTAAGCAAAAACACTTTTCATTTACTTTCGCCTACTTTATTTCAGCCTTTACTTATTCTTTTACAATTTATTTCATAACAGACTTCGACACAGGAAAAGCCTTTGTTTTCCTTGCATTTTCAAATCTTTGTTCCTATTACTTTCTTAATCGATTTATACACTTATAACAACATTCAAACACTTTTCTTTAAAAATTATGTACAAAATACGTTAGGATTTTTTAATTTGATCTTACAAATAATTATTCAAAACTAAATACTATAATTATTTACCTTGGGCTTCAGCCCTCTTGCTTATCAAATGAAAAAGGTAATTGTTTACCAAAATCACCAATAAACACATGACATAATTATGGCTAACTTTTAATTTGATAGAGTGGTTTCATAACATAAAATTTTGAGACTATTCAAAGATTTCAATGATAATTGTTTAAATGCATATTAATCACAATTTAGATATTATTTTTATTTATTTTTAAAATGAATATAACCTAATTTTGAATTCATTTTATTGAATCAACATTAAAATTAAATATTTACTGTTTTTATTAACTAATTAATTAAATAATTAAAATTATTTTTATTATATTATATTAAGTTAATTCAATTGGTAGCTTTGTTAGAATATCACAAATGAAATTATAAATTTGAACTCGTGATATTTCAATAAAAAAGGTGAATTTAAACTACTAAATTTGATTAAAAAAGTTATTCTTATTGTTAGTCATGTAATTCTCTTAATAACTTAAGCCACTTTATCAAAAAAATTATTGTGAGAAATTAAATTGAAAGTCTTTTAAAATTATAAAATTTAATTAATTTTTTCTTTTCTCAACGAAACTAAAACAAATAAATAAAAAAAGAATTTTTAACCATCTTTTGGATACTAAGCTATTTATAAATAAATGCAACAAAAAAGAGAACCACTCATCCCTTTTATCAAGGTATCGTCCAATAAAAACACACACGTGACACGGCCAACCAATTGTTAAAACAAAGTTTTTTTTGACTTAGATCTAACAAGAACAAAGTACCAGCTCGTAACCGGTTGCAGATCGCAAACGACGACGTATAAGGATGGTACTCAACAGCGGCGTGATGATGAGGGTGGCGCACATGTCAGCTTGGTTGTGTCAATACATAGCGTGCAACCCTGAGATTTTGAGAAGCGACGCCGTTTTGGGCTTCATATTCTGTTTTCCTTTCCAACATTTGTTCTTCTCGCTTTCGTCTTACCTTGGTTATCATATTCCGCACTCCGATTGAAATCGAAATCGAAGTGGAAAATCTACTCTGACGGTGAAGCATTATTGTATATATTTGTATTATAGTACATCTTAGGTTTTTTACTTTTGCTTTTGTTGTTGTTGTTGTTTTCCTTGTGTTTATGTCTCTTCCTATAGATTTGGTTTTATATTTACATTTAACACTGGATTTAATTTGTTACTACTAGGTAAAAAATATTTGTACAATATAAGGTAGGTCATTTCCAAGTAGTAGGACCGATTCCGGTAGTTTGGAGGTTTAAACCTTACACTCATCGAGAAATCCCAATAAATAACATATAACTTTGGTGACCATGTTTGAATTAATTTCTCTCTACAACTCTTTGATTAGATAAGAGTCTCTCTGAGCATGCGTGAAAGTTTGAGGAGCTTGAGGACTCTCATATTGTTGTACTAGTGTCTTAAATTCAATTTTATGAAAAGAAATTGAAGGAAGACATTGGGTTTTGCTTCACCTGTATGTGCAACACTAATTGCAGCTGTTGGATTCATGATAAAAAGTTTCTATATATTTAATTATTAATTTTTCCAACCACAAGATTTAATGTAGAATGGGTGGCTTATTGCTTCGTTCTCGACAAAATTTAAGTTTTTCTTTTTTGCAACATGCCCGAGGTGCACGCATTGTGTGTGAGTTAAAGAGATCCCTAAAGAATTTTTTAGAATTTCTTGTAATGAGAATTTGGTAACCTTTTGAAGTTATCTATTGAAAAATTGAGGAAAGTGAAGTTGTAATTTTTGAGGAAATAATATGAGAATAGGCAGATGAATGTTGGTGAGACATTTCCAAATTTCTTTTAAAGATTGGTTTTGTTAACCAATCAAATGAAATCACTTGGTGAGAAGATATACAAGTTGCAAACGGTTTAGAAAATTTTGAGAGTCTTAATTGACAAATTTGACCACAGTAACATGGTGATTGAAGAATAAAATGATCAATCTGAGATGAAGCATGAAGAGTTGCAGAGGCTAACGAGTTAAGGTTAAAGTATAGTAATTTTGAGAAAGTTACAAATCAAGTTTTGCAAGTCAAGTTTTTCAAAAAGATGAGAAAAGTTAGGTGTTTTTAATTTTCTAGCTGTTTATAAAAACAGAAACGACATTTGAGACATTAGGTGTTGTTAATTTTCTTTTTAATAGTTATGTTTTCACTTTCCGTACCAGTTTGGAACAATGTATATGGATTTGACATGAGCTGCATCAAGAAGCAAGCCTTGACAGAGCCTCTTGTTGATACAGTTGACTCGAATCAGATTGCAACAAACAGTCAGTTACTCAAGGTCCGATATATCCAGCTCTTATGATGCTTTTACGTTTTGTTTTCCAACAATGTATTGTTAGATTTGCAAAGCACTGACTAGTTCATCTCTGTTCAGACAATGGACATCTCAAAAATGTCGGCAGGAGATTGTTCATTCACAGCACCTTTTAAGCTACAAGCTTCTCGTGACGATTTTATTCATGCTCTTGTGGCATATTTTGATGTATCGTTTACAAAGTGTCATAAGTTGATGGGCTTTTCAACAGGTTAATTCCTTTCTTCTTTAGTTCTATATATTTACGGTATGGTACATTGTTCCGAGAATATGTTTGAATGTATTCGTTCCGAGAATTGGTTGCTGAAAACTTATATCATGCAGAGATGTCAATAGCGGACGCTGCAGCCGCTATCGCGGTGCACCGTAGCGGTGCGGCACTCCCGGGCTATTTAGGATGCGGTGGCGGAGATGAAAAAGCGGCCGCTTCAACCGCTTTCCGGGTAGCGGAAAGTTCTCGGACGGAACGGCTCCGATTCTTTTTTTTTTTTAAACAATTTTTTGGGCCAAATTACTTAAATGCCTCTGTTTTAAGAAAAAGAAAAAGAAAAATGATATCTATATATATATATATATAATATATATATATATATATATATATAATATATATAATATATATATATATATATATATATATATATATATATATATATATATATATATATATATATATATATATATATATATATATATATATATATATATATATATATATATATATATATATATATATATATATATATATATATATATATATATATATATATATATATATATATATATATATATATATATATATATATATATATATATATATATATATATATATATATATATATATATATATATACTAGACGTCTACCCGCACGATGTGCGAACATTTTTATTAAATTATTATTAATAAATATTATAGTAATCAATAATTTAAATTATAGTAATAAGAATTAAATTTAATAGTTTATATGTCTTAAATAATAATAATATATATTTTCAACAAAGTTAAATATCAACAAAAAAAAAATATCATGAAGCGAAAATAGCATAATTTATAGAGTAAAATATATTTAAAATGATGTCTTTGTTATTATTGATATAGAAAAAAAATTCATTTATTAATTAACAACCAACAATTTTAAAAATAAATATAGATATTGTAGGTAATATATCATAATAAATCGTGAGTTTGTAAAAATAACAACTATTAATTTTATTTAGTTTATCTTTTAGTAATTTGAATTATTTAAATTTAAAAAAAATAAAAAAATAAACAATATTAAAAGAAACATATTTCATTGTTTATCTGTTTATACCTACAACAACAATAATAAAATAAAGAGAGAGAGGAAATGTAAATAAATAAATATTTATAAAAAATAAATTTAAATAATATAATAAATTGTTAAAATAGAAAAGTTAATGAAAATTTTAATACTATATAATTCTTCATCCATTAATTTTTTATATCTTTGCAAAAACTAAAAAGAGAAAAAATAATTAAATAAAAATAAAATATAAATAAGACAATAAAAAATTTGATGTGTTTGTGTTATACTATATTTATGTTATTTAATTGATATAATGTATTATATGAAATTGAATTAAAAGAGTGATTAAATTGATGATATTTTGATCTAAAACAATCTAAATATAACTTTAAAAAACGTTTTTGATCAAAAATGAAGAAGGGAAAAGAAATTATCTAGATATAGACTCAAAAAAATTAAAATAAAAGACTCATTAAATTGATAATATTTTGATCCAAAACAATCTAAATATAACTTAATAAAACAATTTTGATTAAAAATAAAGAAGGGAAAAAACTATATAGATGTAGACTAAAAAAACGAAAAATAGATAATTAAATTAAATATGAAAATCGAAGAAAATTGAATTCATTCAATTTTGATTAAAAATGAAGAAGAGAAAAGAAACGATTTAGATATAGACTTTAAAAAATGATTTTAATTAAAAATGAAGAAGGAAAAGAAGCTATTTAAATATAGACCAAAAAAAAATAAGTAATAAATAAAAGAATTAGAAGAGAGTTCAAAGACTTGTGAATAACAATGTTGTATCGCATATGTATATGAATGTAGTTTTTAAAAGGATTAGTTTTACAATCAAAAAAGGAGTAATAACGCATGTTATTGTCCTTTTGCCTTCTATTTCTGTATTGACCTAATAAATTTTAATACCTAATTTTATTTAAAAAAACATTGAATTGATGATATTTTAATCCAAAACAATCTAGATACAACTTAAAATAAAATAAAAAAACAATTTTGATTAAAATTGAAGAAGATGAAAGAAACTATCTAGATATAGACTCCAAAAAATTATATTAAAAGAGCAATTGAATTGATAATATTTTGATCTAAAATAATTTAGATACAACTTTAAAAAAACAATTTTGATTAAAATTGAAGAAGGGGAAAGAAACTATCTAGATAATAACTCCAAAAATTGAATTAAAAGAGTCATTGAATTGATGATATTTTGATCCAAAATAATCTAGATATAACTTTAAAAAAACAATTTAATTTGATTAAAAATGAAGACGGGAAAGAAACTATTTTGACATAAACTCCAAAGAAAAAAAGATAATTAAATGAGATTACTAAGGATTTAGCCGTCGTTGTTGTTGTTGTCGTCGTCGTCGTCGTTGTTGTTGTTGTTGTTGTTGTTGATGATGATGCTGATGTTGCTGCTGCTGTTGTTGTTGTTGTTGTTGTTGCTGTTGTTGTTGCTGTTGTTGTTGTTGCTGCCACCGTATCACAGAACTGGCGACTCTGCTGGGGAATTAATACGTGGGGTATACCTTAGGATTAGTTCATCATATTGTTTTCTATTGTTTTATTTGATTGCTTTATTTTTGTGGGATTTGTATCGGAGTTACTATAGATCCTAACCCGGATCTGAGGGACACCTTTTAGGTAAGTAGCAATAGACTGTGAGGGAACTGTACGGTGTAGACCGATACAGTTGAAGCAGTAGCTACGTTTATGTGGCACATTAGTTGGTAACGATATCCCCTGTGGAGCAACAAGGAGAGTATGGGGCTGCTATATGGGTCGTTAAGCATCAACTGGCCTTAGAACCTATAATTGACCAACTTGGCCATAGGAAGTAGTGAGATGCTACACTCATTAAGATCATACTCTCGAGATGGTTCCAGCTGCAAGAAAAGATTGCGTGAGCTGAAACTATGACCGATGAAGGATGGTCAGTGATATTGAGAACCTCTAGAACTCGGTTACTATTATCAGGACAGGTTGAACCAACTGAACTTCAAGAGGGTAGTACCTAGACTCCATGCAAGCCTAAACTTAAGGGCTATTGTGTGACTTGTTTGCCCTTACCATGTTTGCTATCTGCTATTGTTGTGTGTTTTCTCATGACATCATGCATCATGACATAGCATGCATATTTCATTAGACTAATCATTTCAAAGACCGAGGGGATTCATCTTTGTTCTGTTTTGCAGATTATGGCTTATATGCGCAGAAATACCATTCG